AAGTCACTTAACTTCTATATATCGGTGTAAGATCTAACCTAGGCATCTCCTATGTTTATTGGAAAAACTAATGCGACCTGGTGTGGTGCTGTAGGATCAGCACTGGACTGCTAACCACAAAGTCAGCAGTTCAAATCCACTGGTTACTCCTTGGAAACCTTATAGAGAGTAGCTATGAGTAGGCACTTAACAACAAGACCACAGATGCAAAGGTATTTTGTAAAAAAGCACAAAGTGCTAAACAATTCCTACACACACATTTTTTTTTATTGTGAATTGGGTGAAGGTTTACATAGCAGATCAGTATTTCATTCAACAATTCACACACATTTGTTTCATATTAATGACTACAATCCCCACAATGCAACTTCACTTACCGTACTTCCTCCCAGTATTTCCTGCTTTCCTTCCTCCTTCTTTCCTAACCCTTTGGAACTTGTCCTTGGGTCAATGCTGCCTTCTTATCTCACTATGCTGATTATTCTCCAGTGTTCTTGTCCCCCCTATAGACTGTTTGGATAAAACTGATCCATGGGGGATGAACTTGTTTCCATCCCTGAAGGGATTCCGACCAGTAAGCCTGGTCTTTCTAATGATTTTGTTTGTCCCGTTTTCTCCCACTCTACCCAGTACCTTCTAATGTGATCCCTTTCAGGAAGTTGGTAGTGGCCGCTGGGCACCATCTAGTTCTTCTCGTCTCAGGGTCGTGGAGGCTGATGTCTGAGTGGCCTGTTAATCCGCTGGACTCACTCTTCTCAGGTGTCTTTGATTTTCTTCACTCTTCTTTCGTGTAGACAAAGAGACACCAATAGTTACACACCTTAGAAGTCCACTCAAAGAAGGCTGTGGAACACGTCCTTGTGGATGATGCTATGCCAACTGACCCTGACTTCCCCTGAGACCATGGCCTCAAGGTGTTTGGTAATGTCTAAGAAGTTTGTATCATTTTGACCCCTTATGCTCCACCACATTCATGGGTATATTTGCAGCAAAGGGGACTTACCCAAACATGAACATATTTATTCATGGGCACGCTCCTACTCTCCTCCTGGCCACACCCATTCAGCCTGTGTGTCTGCCGGGGTGTCCACTTGTAGAGCACCACAGTTGCTGCATTGTGTTGTCTTTAACTCGGAAGCTCCCCCCTCCACTTACCACCATCCCCCACCTCGCACCCCCCACCCCCACGTCCTTCTCCACCCCCATCATTGTTTGTTGCGCTTCCTTGTGATGTCAGCTGCCTTCTCCTTCACCCAAGATAACATGTGTCTTCCCCTGAACCAGGAATTTACTCTCCTCCTTCCCCTTCTACTCCATCAGAGAATGCTTCTTTGAGAGTGAAAACCTTCTGTCAACTCTTTACAATAGTGATCTCATACAATATTTGTCCTTTTGTGATTGGCCATGTTAGGAGGTGTTTTGCAGATCCATTTTTTTAATATTGTGGAAACTGCTTAAATGCCCATCAATGGAAGAGTAACTAAACAAACTCTGGAGCATACACACTGTGGAATACTGTGGTACTCTGAAGATTAATGATGACTCTGCAAAACACCTCATAATATGGATGAACTTGGAGGACATTATGCTAAGTGAAATAAGTCGAGTCAGTTCCAAACCCTGTATAGGGTTTCCAAGGAGCAGCTGGTGGGTGTGAACCACCAACCTTGTAGTTAGCGGTCAGTACTTATCCTTCAGTGCCACCCAGGACCCCTTAGTGAACATGTTGTTGTTAAGTGCCATCAAGTCAGTTCCAACACATAGCGGCCCTCTATAGGGTTTCCAAGGAGCAGCTGGTGAGCTTGACCTTGCAGTTCAAATGGTTTTGCAGTCTGACACATTAGCCCATAGCACCACATAAATCCATTCTTGTCAAGGCTCTT